ATTAACGCTAGAACTATTATTAACACTAGAACCATTATTAACACTACTATTAACACTAGAACCGTTATTAGCATTAACATTAGACCCAGTATTGAAACTAGATCCGTTGTTAGAGTTATATCCGTTATTACTACTAGATCCGCTATTACTATTTGTACCACTAGCACTATTAGTAGACGTGGAAGCTATTTCGATAAAAACTTGTTTAACAGGTGGCAGAACGAGTTGAGTTATTGGTTTGGATGATGAATTCATTGGATCAGGAATAGTATTAAATCTTTTTACAGGTGACAAAGCGGTAGGTGAAGTGGGTGGCGTTACTGCCTTTTCAAATTGTGACACCAAATTTGAAACTTTTTTTGCCTGTGGAATTGCTTCGCGCTGGACCTGTGTCTTAGCTTCGCGCGATTTAGTGAGAAATGAAATATCTTTTGGGGGAACTGTCCTGGTAGGTGATCCAAGATCACCAAAACTTGAATTTTTTGGTGAAAAAGGGTTTTCGACGGGTGTGACTGTGTCTTTTCGTGATTGAGTCTGAGCAGGTGATGATGATAATGATGATGAGTCTTGAGGTATAGTATTCCAATCACTCCTTCCTCGATCCTTTTGAGTTGTGACCGTTTTTAGATCAGCGGTCGAACTATTATTGTCTTTTGCCGTGTCAATTTTTGACGTATCACTTTTGATATTCGCATTCTTTCCTTCATTATTGTCTATATTACTTCCGAAAATATCATTTAATCGTTCCGATATTTTTGATTTATTAACCATTGAACTTTTTTCAATTACAATAGGCATAGGTGGCGGCAATGGTTGAGTGGGAGATAACGGGGGCGGTACATTTGCCACATTCGAGCCAAAAGGGCTATTGTTGATCCATGATCTTGGTGATAATGGTTCTGAACCTTTTGGAGATGAAGGTGTGGATGTAGTTGCAGTTGGGGACAATGGACGTCGAGGTGATCGTGAAACTGGTTCTGTTTTTGCTGCCTTTTCTTCTTGTTGTGCGGCCCAAAATCTTATTAAATCATTGACCGGTTTTGCCGGAGGTTTCTTGGACATTTTTGAATAATTTACTTATCAATGACAATGTTAGACGTTAACGTTTACGTTAAATTTATTAATACACGATAGGAATAGAAAAAGGCCAAGTGAAATATGAAGCCTTTTTTTTTTCTTTTAATGACAGGATCTACTTCATGGTTAATTGAGATTTGAGGCCGATTGGATAGTAATAAAAGGTTAAGACAATCAAATTATTATGAAACTATTATATATGAGATCAAGAGTTCGCCACTAATGGAAATAACTATAATCAAAAATGCACTTTTTTTTAACTTAAATAATATCTTTTGTCCAAAACAAATTATTTCATAAGACTCGCGAATACTTTTAATGCTAATAACGGTTCTAGTGTTAATAGTAGTGTTAATAATGGTTCTAGTGTTAATAATAGTTCTAGCGTTAAT